TAAAAAAATGAGTACCGAAAGAACATAAGTACAAAAAGAACGAATGATTGTGAAAATATCAATTTTGTATATAGTAAAATACTAATATACATAGATAGTTTGAAACATACATTTATCTATGTATTTTTATGCTTTCATCAGTCATTCCATCCATATAAATGTTTGTAGAGTAGAATACATATAATTATTGATACTTCTATTGTAGTAATGTGAATAATACAAGACATTTAAATTCAATTAGATACAAGTTATACTTGTCAAGCTTTTGAACAAAACAATACATATATACTTAAATAATTGCATATACATATAATTGTAAAAAAATGAGTACAGAAAGAAGATGAGTACAAAGAGAACGAATGATTCCGAAAATATCAATTTTGTATATAGTAAAATACTAATATACATAGATAGTTTGAGACACATATTTATCTATGTATTTTTATGCTTTCATCAATATTTACATTTCTATGTGAGTCACTCATTCCATCCATATAAATGTTTGTAGAGTAGAATACATATAATTATTGATATTTCTATTGTAGTAATGTGAACAATACAAGACATTTAAATTCAATCGGATACGCGTTATACTTGTCAAGCTTTTGAACAAAACAATACATATATACTTAAATAATTGCATATACAATTGCACACTTCTAGTGAATAGGTTTCACTGGCAATTTGTTATTAGTTTCACTTTACCATATTAATCAGATGTACATGATACATTAATAGTTTGCATTTGATTATTTTTATTTCAATCTATGTTAGTATATTATTGCATTATATGAATTTAACAGAATTGAATACATATATACTTGTATGTTTTATAGTGTACCAATGTGACTACAAGAAAGAAATTGAAATTTATACTTTTCAAATCTTTTGTACTAAACAATTTAGGGAAAATGTTCAAGTACCTCCCCAGACTATGACTAAAATCTCATAGATACACCTTAATTAAATTAAGGTCCTATCCCCCCCCCCCTCGAACTTTTTTTTTTTGTAATTTTATACACCTTTTATCTTACGTGGCATACTCCGTGAATCCACACAATTGAGACGCATGGAAGATAATTAGATGCCACGTAAGTCAAAAAGGTGCACAAAATTTCATGCATACGTTCTTTCTCTCCTCGTTATAGGACTGACCAAACATCTCATGACACGAGCTGACGACAGTCATGCGGCACCTGTATGAAAGTAAGTACCATCCCGTTAAGGATAGGTTTTCTTGTTCATATGTCAAGGGCTGGTAAGGTTTTGCGTGTTGTATCGAATTAAACCACATGCTTCACCGCTTGTGCAGGCCCCCGTCAATTCCTTTGAGTTTCGATCTTGTGACCGTTCTCCCCAGTGGAGTGTTTCACCCGTTAGCTGGGCCCCTGATCCGCGTAGACCAAGGGCGAACACTCATCGTTTACGGCATGGACTACCAGGGTATCTAATCCTGTTCGCTTCCCATGCTTTCGCACCTCAGCGTCGGTAGGGACCCAGAGATCTAACTAATTCATTTTGTATTGAATTAGTTAAATAAGTTCAATTCGTATATATATAATTGTAAAAAAATGAGTACCGAAAGAACATGAGTACAAAAAGAACGAATGATTGTGAAAATATCAATTTTGTATATAGTAGAATACTAATATACATAGATAGTTTGAGACATATATTTATCTATGTATTTTTATACTTTCATCATTATTACATTTCTATGTGAGTCAGTCATTCCATCCATATAAATGTTTGTAGAGTAGAATACATATAATTATTGATACTTCTATTGTAGTAATGTGAATAATACAAGACATTTAAATTCAATTAGATACAAGTTATACTTGTCAAGCTTTTGAACAAAACAATACATATATACTTAAATAATTGCATATACATATAATTTTAAAAAAATGAGTACCGAAAGAACATGAATACAAAGAGAACGAATGATTCTGAAAATATCAATTTTGTATATAGTAAAATACTAATGTACATAGATAGTTTGAGACACGTATATTTATCTATGTATTTTATGCTTTCATCAATATTTACATTTCTATGTGAGTCACTCATTCCATCCATATAAATATTTGTAGAGTAGAATATACATATAATTATTGATACTTTTATTATAGTAACGTGAACAATACAAGATATTTAAATTCAATTAGATACAAGTTATACTTTTCAAGCTTTTGAACAAAACAATATATATATACTTAAATAATTGCATATACAATTGGACACTTCTAGTGAATAGGTTTCACTGGCAATTTGTTATTAGTTTCACTTTACCATATTAATCGGATGTACATGATACATTAATAGTTTGCATTTGATTATTTTTATTTCAATCTATGTTAGTATATTATTGCATTATATGAATTTAACAGAATTGAATACATATATACTTGTATGTTTTATAGTGTACCAATGTGACTACAAGAAAGAAATTGAAATTTATACTTTTCAAATCTTTTGTACTAAACAATTTAGGGAAAATGCTCAAGTACCTCTTCAGATTATGACTAAAATCTCATAGATACACCTTAACTAAATTAAGGTCCTCTTACCCCCTCCCCCTCAAACTTTTTTTTTGTAATTTTATATACCTTTTGTCTTACGTGGCATACTCCGTGAATCCACACAATTGAGACGCATGAAAGATATTTAGATGCCACAAAAGTCAAAAAGGTGCACAAAAATTACAAAAAGAAAATAAGTTTAAGGGGTAATAGGACCTTAATTTAATTAAGGTATTTCTATGGAATTTTGGTTATAGTCTAAGAGAGTACTTGTGTATTTTCCCAACAATTTATATATACTGGGATATTTACATATACAATTGGATACCTATAGACTATAGTGCATTAAGAGTCATTGCCACTTATTTTAAATTTTCATGTGTGTTGTCTCTTGGATTCGACTGAACATATACTCTTACTCTCACAATGTTGCATATTTTCAAAGGAGTATCATTATCTTTGACATTGTATTTGATGGTGATACATGTTGTAGTCAGATCAATGTTCAATTGACCCTAAATTAATTCAATAAATTTAGAAACGAAGTATATTCTTTCAATACGATTCCATCAATACAATTTAGGGGTACGTGTGGATAGTATTGTTCATGGTTATGGTTAACAATCAAATCAATCGCAATTTGAACCAAATCGATTAAAAAGAATTGATATTTGGTTTAGTTTGGTTAGGTTTGGTTTTTAAATTTTGAAAACCGATACTATTTGGTTTGGTTTTGATTTAACTAAAAAACAACCGCAAAAATAACCAAATCGAACCGATAAATTAGATATATAAATTTTATAATTTTTTATATATTATTCATAATAGATTAAAGAAATTTGGTTAAGTTTTGGGCAATTTTTACATATAGCAAACAAAAAGTTTATATTTGTATGTTATAACAAAGTTTGCATAATTGCGCTCCATAGCAAACATAAAACTGTATAATTTACTATACATATAAAATTGTATAATTCGCTGGCCAAAATTGTATAATTCGCTGGCCTAAATTATATAATTCGCTGGCCTATTTCACTGCAATTGTATAGTTCGCTATCCTATTTCACTGCGATTGTATAATGCACAATTGTATAATTCGCTGCCTATTTCGCTGCAATATTTTTATAAAATTTTCTTTGCATACAGTTGAATCGAATTAAAATGTATGTATATTGCATAATTATAAGTGTATAGCAAGAAGATATATGTTTTTCTCTCGCTTTATACAAAAACAGAAACACAATATATACACTTTGTTGTATAAAGCTAGAGAAAATTGTATTTCACTGCAATTGTATAATTCACAATTGTATAATTCGTCGGCCTTTTTCTCTGCAATATTTGAAGTAAAATGTTTGTAAATTGTATAATTAAGTGTATAACACGAATATATATTAAGTTTATAACACGAATATATATATTTTTGCATGTGTATATACAATTTTCTCTCGCTTTATACAAAACAGAAACAGAATTATACACTTCTGTGTATAAAGCAAGAGAGGCGAGCGAGAACGGAAAGTGGCGAGCGAAATTTCTGGGAGAGAGACGCTGGCAAATTTTAGCTAACGTTTGCTATGGAGCACAATTAAATCAAACCCTAGCTATTCCATTTATTTTAGGTTATTAGTTTGCTATTATATACAATTTTTCCAAATTTTAATTAACTTAAGTCTTTAACTTTACCATTTTTTTCAAGCCCAACACATTAGCGAAGGTATAGAAAATCTCAAATCCAAGTCCATCAAAATTCATTTTTGTTTTTATTTACTGTACTTCACATAAAATAGTCACGTCTTTCTCTAAAATATATCACTTTAATCATCTAATGATAACTCTAATATTGCTTAATTGTTTGACTGAACCGACATTAGTTTTTCTGTAAATTGTTCATGTACTTGGTATTTGTGTCTATCGAGATACGTGTGTCCTCAAAAAATTTATTACTTTCAAACTGAATAAACCAAAAAAACTGAACCAAACCAATGGTTATTTTTTTTGTTTGAATTGGTTTGATTTTAGAAATTTAAAAAACTTACTAGATTGGTTTGGTTTTAATTTTAATCAATAACCGATCCAAAGCAAACCACGAACACCCCTACGTGTGGGAGTGCCCTTGAAAGGAATAAACTTTTTTTTAAAAAAACAGATTTTTTTTAAATTGAATTGGGAACATTTCACCAAAACCATATTTGGCTAAATTCATATTTGCTTATATTCTATTTGGACGAATTGTAATCCAAATCATTTAGCTCAATCCATTCAAATCCAATGATTTGCTACCCCTAACCAACACCAGTAAACATAAATATTTTAATTTTATAGTTGTGGTTTATCCAACGTATACAATATAACAGCCAAGCACATAAACGTGATTGACCTACCCAGTTGAAATCAACTGCATTAACAAATTCCTTTGGTTTGCTGTTTGGAATCAGAATAAGGTAAAAGGGGGTGGGGGGGTTCATCAGCAAGTCCAATAAAGTAGCATTTGCACAAGGAACAACTTTCACAATGTATTTGTCAGTTAACAGTTGTCATGGGAAGGAAGAGATGTCAAACAGTTTGTGCCAAAATAGATAACAAACAAATTGGTTTGCAAAATAAGTATATACTAAAGATACATAAACATTCACAAGGTTTAGAAACCAAGGGAGGTACACTGCTTCTTAGCATGTTCTGGTATCAGTTTGTTCAAGAGCTCTGCAGATGCTCCTTTCAACTCTGTAGATGAAATTGCACAAAAATAAGTAACCAAGAAAACTTCAATTCCTTAAAAGTACTGATAAGAGAATGATTAAACCTTGAGGCCTGAAGTTGAAGAGAGGTGGCAATGGCCGACCATTAGGGAGACGAGTCTTAGGATCACGAAGCTCATCGAAGAAAGAGTGGGTGCAAGCCTCCAACTGCAAATGGGAATCAAATAGATATTACAATAGCTTAATGGAAATTGTTTTCTAATAAGTAGAACCAACAGACGTTGTCTTGCATGTCATACCAAACATGAAAGAAAGGTACCTAGCTCTTCATCATTTTTATGCACTTAAAATGCATCCAAATTATGCAATCAAATGATTATAAAAACATCCTACTCCGCAAGTAACACAATCTATTTCATAGAATTATGTTATATAACAGAAATGATACAACAAAGATCATATCAGGATCCAGTTAGTTTTGGACAACACAACAAGATCAGGGCTCATCAGCTGCAAAAGCACTTCTCAAAAAATATATCAGCCCAAGAAATTAAAGAAACTAATTCTCAAGTTATGAGAAACCTAATTCAGAAATGACTTGACCTGTTGTCTAAAGCATTTTAAAGGTGTAAAGATGTGAAACTAATTTTTCTGTTGTTACTGTTAAGGTAGGGCCCTTAGGTAGTTTGGCATAATTTAAGATGGGAACAGATTGTCCAGTGTTAAGAAACAAATAGGGGAAAAACAACTTTAAGTCGACTGACAACCTAGTTTTTTTTCTTCTTCTTTGTTGGGATAAAAGAAAAGACAGTTGTTTCGATGGGAAATTCTAAACAAAGCCAAGTAATGCATACAATACAAAGAGCATATGGTCCTATCACTCTGATGACATGATGCCCTTTTACTTATTCTTGGTTCCACGATCATCTAAAAGCAACTCCAGAGGAAAGCCTCCTAAATTAACCTTCAGAATCATACAATTGTTTGTTCCCCTCACATTGTGGTCTGAAGTTTGACCAGGTACTCCTGCGTAATATGGTTTCTTGATATGCCCCATTCATCTATATTTGCAGCTGAGAAATTGAGGGGAAAAAAGTTTTAAACTTACTGCAGTAGACCGCAAATTTGGAGAATACTGGAGAAGCCTTGACACAAGATCCACAGCTTCAGGAGGCATCCGCTTATGAAAAATCTGGAATAAAAAAAAGAAGCAATGAGTATACAAGTGTGCAAGGAATGATCAGCACTGTATTCTCTATGCAGGAACAGAGACCAAGAACCTCACTTTATGCCAAGGGTGAGCTTTGATTTGTGGGAATTTGAACTCAGTGTAATTTGGATTCATACACTTGATTTCCTCCCGAGTTGGTGTTCCAAGAACCTAGACCATACAAGATTTCAGTACAATTGCATTCTGCAATCAGAAGATCATGAAATTAAGTTCATCATTACTCAAGTGAAGATACCTTGATAATTTCCACAAGCTGATCAACTCCACTCTCACCAGGAAAGAGGGGCTATGGATATTGAAACATAAAAAGATTAGAAAGATGTCAAGAATCATGAAATTGTTCCTGCCTAAAATTAAAGAATAAGATTCTGAAAGAATAAGACCTGCCCAAGAAGCAGTTCAGCAAGGACACAACCCACAGACCAAATGTCAATTGCAAATGTGTATTCTGTTGCTCCAAATATAAGTTCAGGCGCACGATAGTAACGAGAACAAATGTATGAAATATTTGGCTCGCCTTTGACCTGAAAGATAATATATAACTTTAGGCAGCTATTTAAGAGGAACATGAAGATCAAAATAAACACAAGATTGAGCTGCACTCTTCTGATACCACAGAGAAAAATGAAGCCGAGAAAAGAATAAAGTGTGGGCTTCTAGGAGAATTGGTCAAGTCTAACTTGATTGACATTAATGAAAAGCAAATCTTTTGTTCAGGTAGAATCCTTCTTTGATATTGTACACTGTTGAAAGTTACTTGTTTATCATTTGGTTGACAGACAACTGGGCCAGAGATCATGATCATGAAATACACTCATCAAAAATAGGAGAGACTAATTCAATTCTTACTGTTAGTGCTCCGCCTCAGAAACTAGAACAGTAGAATAAGTAGAAAACAATACCGATTTGTTATAATCCAAAACGCTGTGCTTCCCTAAGTAATCAAGGACAGACAATGTAACCCCAAAAAAAAGGCAGACCGGGTCGGGGGATGAGCTCAACCACAAGGGTCTATTGTACGCAGCCTTACCCTACATTTCTGCAACAGGCTGTTTCCACAGCTCAAACCCATGACCTCCTGGTCACATGGAAGCAATGTAACATTGTTCAACTTCTATAAAATCCTAGTAACTACATGACAAACATAACCATCACTTGTCACTAACAAAACGAATGCGCGAAACCACAGCTGTTTTCTGATTTATTTCCAAGTGACTGATAGTAGTGCACAACCACAAAAACTCATCATAAAAGATGGCAGATAACCATATCATTCTTGGTTTATTAGACAAATGTTAATGAGATTCCTAGTCTTCGTGAAATGGATAGGTGACAAAAGTAGCATACATTAACTTCTAAGTTGCAAAACTGCTATTACTGAATAAATAAACGTTGTGCTTTGTAACCTTGAGTTAGTCAACTTTCGAGTAGTCACAAACAAAAAAATTACAAGTTACAATTACCAGAACTTTTGCACTCCCAAAATCACAGAGCTTAAGCTGGTGAGTATGTGGGTTGACCTGCCATAAATAACTGCAATAGTCAATATCATTATATCATAAACCTTTTAAAAGATAGACTCTTAAGCTCTGAAAAAACAGACCAGTAAATTCTGAGGCTTGATGTCCCTGTGGCAGACTCCTATCCCATGTATGTAAGCCAAAGCTCTGAAAATCTGAAGAAGTGTAAAATAAAATAAACACTGATTTGCAACAAAATATCTATAAGGTATTTGTAACAAAAATATACTAACAGTCCTGAGCTGCAAGAACGTCAAAAATAATTCAAAACAAGCTGCATCAAGTCAACCTTCACATAAGTTTTGCTACAGAACATGAATTTGCTTTCAATTTAAAATGGAAAACCTGATATGTATAGAGCTTGACATAAATCATTGGCATCCGTTGGTTTGCTTTGCTGTAATGTCTCAACACACGGTAGACAGTCTCAGGTACATATTCAAGAACCAAATTAAGATAAAGCTCATCCTTTTCTGTGGTTGAAAAGAAGCAGTGTCTCAGTGAAACAACATTAGGATGGTCAAGAAGGCGTATTGTTTGCAATTCCCGATTCTTGTATCGCTTATCCTGTAGAACTTTTTTTATTGCCACAGTTTCTCCAGTTTCAAGGCATTTGGCCTGCAAGTTTCCAAATCAGTAACAAATTTGGACTTGTAAATCATCAGCTAGACAAGTTATGCATAGAAACAAAAGGATTTTATATATATATCCCAAACTCTTAGCGTACAATATGCCTTGACTGATGGTGGTCATCATCTGTAAAATATAAACAGTTTGTACCTGAAACACAATTCCAAAGGAACCCTGTCCAACAACACGCTCGGCCATGTAACTAATGGTCTGAATGGCAAAAGAGAATAAATTAGTAAATAAAAACTTCTACACTAATGCATAAAAGACAACTCAAATATTTGTAGAGAAGTAAGATGACACAAGAATACTGGGTTGGTTAATTGATAATTATGAGCGTTGAGTGGGTCTGTGCCACTCCACTGAATTTCCATATTCCCTAGTATAAGTTATCATCTGAGAAGTATTAATGTATTCTTATGTGTTCCAAAAACTCTCTAAAATATTTGCATCCTTCCTAATTCTCATATTGATTCGTCTCACTATCTGCGATTTTTATACATTCATTGCAATTATTTACCACCATCATCACCCCCTTCAAGCAATTACCATTCTCCTGGACAGTGAAAAGGATATTGTTGGATGAAACTAACTATGCAGGATACAAGCATAACCATAGAGAAGGAGATAACATATCTCTAATGCACATCTTGCTGAAATGCCATCCAAACTTTACGAGCATGTCACTAACATGAAAAACCGTCTACTAATATATTTGAATAAGAGCTCATTCTTTTTTAAAACTTAAACCAGATAAACATATACTATTAAATCATACAAAGAGAAAAGATGGAGTCCTTTAGTTTTGGTTCACACCTGGTGTCCATTACCCATTTTGGAGTCCAAATTATTCATACTCGTACAGGGAAGTCCTACCTATTTTTTGGGGGGGGAGGGGGGGGGACTCCCACTAAAGGTGAGTTAGGTTTGACCATGAGACCTCTTTTTAATGATGGAGGGTACTTATCACACCACAACAACCTTTGGTGATAAGTTGAATTCTTTCAAAACTATTTGCCCCTCTGTAATGGTGTGCAACAAAATGTCTGCCACATGATAAATAGTCTATGAACAGAATAATAGAATTAACTGGAAAATGAAAAGATCTCCACAGCACATGTTGTTGCTGCTTTGAGGAAAATTTTTAGGTATATATGTTATATATATACATGTTTCCCCTTACTCTTTCTTCTTATTTTTTTGACTGAGAAAAGGTAGTACATGTGCCACTCCTTATTCACCACAACATGTATTTTTTTTAAAAAGTGCTTTCTCCTTTACCTTTTACAATAATAAGGTAAGCATCCAGCAGTGGATCAATTAAATGTCATGAGCTGACCCCCTCTAAAAGTAAAGATTAAATATTCATTCAATAACCTACGAGAAATCCTTTCTTTCTCGTCCATTCAGGGGGGTGCTGACACACCTGCGCAGATATAAGATGCAGGAAATGATAGGGGAGCAATATCTAACTTTAGTTACCGATATTCAGGCCAAAATGGAAATAATTACAAAGAGAATAGCTCATTGAATCTATTGATCAATTAAAATTTAGCTTTGATCTAAAATATTACTTTCTAAATTCCTAAAACAAAAAGAGACTAATGCAAAGAGACTTTTGCTTAACACAATAAGATCAATGCTTCTGTTAGATGACTCCAGACCTTGCATATTGTCCATTTTCTTATTTTTTTAATATTTTTTCTTCAATGGTAAATTCTTTATCCTGTCAACTTGTAGTACTCATGAAATAAATATAAAAATCGGAAGATATTAGTCATGTACACAGTATCACCCGATTAAAAAATGTAACTTACATATTTTAGAGCTTAAACCCACTATTTGAAAATTAAACAATCAACGATTTAGAATTCTTACCTGCTTAGGCTCACCATTTTTGCCCCCAATAGTTGTCACAATGATGTGGCCCTTTTCTGTTCCGTTCCCGTCAACTACAGCTGCTTCCATTTCCTATCACAAGTGAAACTGCCTAAGATAAATAGAGTGTACATAGATGACGAGACCAGAATATGCAGTCCTCTTCCCAGAACCAACCTTTTCTGCTTTATCATCTCTGATCTTCATTTCATTAATTTCTTCAGGAAGTTTGTCAACAAGCATGGCATCAGTGTGAGGTTTTCCACCTGCTGAAGGCATTATACAGCCAGAAGCCATATCGGAAACAAAGATAAGAACTTGCTTATGGTAGTGATTGATGGGCACAACTTGAAAGACGGATCATCAGCTTCCAAAAACCTGGGATGCAACGATATACATAAAGTAGAAAAAATGCATGTGATACTATCTACATTTCAAAGTTGTCGTAATTTCTGAATCAGGAAAACAACATTGACCTGAAATGACCAGAATAGAGCCATAGCCACTTGACATTCTTTTGACTAAGAACACATAGTAAGTAATAGGTATTGCAGACATAATACAGCTAGTTTGTTTTTTTAATGTTTTTTGTCATCCCAATGGTAAACTCTGACCTGTGTGCGTAAACAATTTATTATATCATACCGAGAAGTTCGTGCGAAGAAACATTACAAAGAAAACTTCAGTGCCGTTGCTTATTTAGTAGTATCTTTACTGTCTCAGTGTATCCCTTGATTGAACATTTGATATTACGAACAATAAGAATGATCAATTAAAAAAGAAAATTGCTATAGTTCCCTATCTTGTTCGGAGAAGACGTTCAATAACATAATAATGATCTTCTCCAGCGCTTCAGAGCATCCCAAAAGGCATTTGAACACACCAACACTTGTTTAGAGGATATAGATTTTCAAGATCTCAGTCTGCAAACTGCCAACAGCTTCCTCCTTATGCATCGACATTTAATTGACTTACAAAACTTATTAGACAATACCATTCCATTACCAACCTCTTCATCTCCCCTTAACCCATCAAGCCTCACAGCCCCTGAAAGTTCCTGATAACATTTTCAGCCGTTCTATGAAAACAAAATAGATAGGCAGTTTCAAATCAAATCCCAAAATAGATGTAATGACTCCTTCTATTTTAGTGATCATCAATGCTCCTCTTCTCCATGATTTGTTCAGTCTTTCTCTTCTTGATTTATATCATCCTCTTGAGTCTTCCTTTTCATTTTCAAAACATGGTTCAAAACTTGAATATTTTGTTGTCTGTATCACCCTTAGTTGCTGAAGAACCTTCACTAGCCTCCCTGACAGAGTCCCCAAAATTTTAGTTTATTTGCAAACATGACTAACAATATCCCAGCCATTCTTGAGCTTAACAAATATGGAACAGCGTGGTTTTCCTAATATCAGGATAGAGTTGCAGAATGCTAAAAGAGATCCTATATCACCGGCAACACGAAATTCTGAACACCATTTCAACAATTTCTTGATACAATGCAGCCATAGTATCCCCAATTGCATCTTCACAGGATATCACCACGATTCTCAATGGTATAGCAGGATGAAACCCTCCCTTCCCTTACCTCTTTTTTCTTCCTGTTCTTTAGGTACCTGAATGACTCGTAGCCCATTTATTCGGTTTCAATCCTAGAACCAAACTGAAGATCCTAAAATCTACTGATGCATTTGAGTACAAACCAAAATGTAAAAAAAGAAAAAAAAAAGAAGCAAAAGTTGCTTGTTATGTGGACTTTCCATCTTTATATGATAGCCAAGACACAACCGACAGCTTACAGCTAAAAATCAGCTAATACAACAAGAAATAGAATCATAATATCAAAGTGAGCTGAGAAAACACTTGTAATGGATATATCTGTGTGCATTTTAGCTATCATTTGTATAGAAAAGGGAAGGAGACAGTACGTACCAGGAGCTCAAAGGTGGTAATAGTTGAAGCGGCAAAAATGGCGATCGGTGAAAAGACGAAACCCTAGAAGAAGAAAGAAAAAGAATCTCCGGCAGGTAAAGTTGAAAACTGGGAGTTTTGCTCAATTTTCAATGACTTTTCATACACAAACTTTGACTCACTGGAAATTCTGCTTGGAGCAGAGCGGACGCCAATTAATTTTATCAATTTTAGTTCATTGAAATATCTTAGTTACGTAACACAAGTCTATATTACACGTATCATTATCTCGTTGGCTTCTTCGTACTTACAGTAATGACTAGCAGTTAAGCCAAGTACTGCGATACTCCGTCCAAGGATAACTGTTCATTATATTATTTTAAAATATTTAAATAATATTATTTAATTGCTGTTTAGTATTAATATATAATTTTATATTCAATTTTTAATTTTATTTTTATTATTAATTATAATCATTTTTTATTATAATTTTTTAAAATATGTTAATGATTATATTTAAAGAGTGATAGTTTTTTAATAAATGTGCAAAGTTAATACTGAACAGGTATTATTTGATAGAGAAGGACATTAAGGTCTTATTTGTTTGTATTTTGTGGAGATCTGAATTTAAATGTTTCAAACATTAGATTATTAAGGGCCCGTTTGGATGGGCTTAATAAAAGTAGCTTTAAAAAAGTACTTTTGAAAATGCTGAAACTTATTTTTAAAATAAGCAGTTATGCGTTTGGATAAAAGTGCTGAAATTGTTATGCTAAACGTGAAAAGGGAAAAATAGAAGAAAGAGATGTTAGGGTTATATGGATAATTTGAAGATTATATAAAAATATTAAGGGAAAAAACATAAAAATGTGGTCAACTTAAAACAGCTTATAAGTTAAAAAAAAAAAGTACCCCTACCCCAGCTTTTAACTTTTAGCTTAAAATAAGTTTTTTTTAACTTAAAATAAGCTATTTTAAGTATTGTCAAACAGTTAAATAAGTCAAAAATCAGTTTTTAAGTCAGTTTGACCAGTTTTTAAGTTGAGCCAAACAGGCACTAAGTGTATTTGTTTTCATAAAGATTTAAGAACCTAATTAATCTCAATAGGTATTAATCAATCATTAAGAATTAGAGACAACTCTTAATATCACTAAAAGGTATTCTTCTATAGATAATATTCATCATACTCTATCGACAATCATCAGTCGCCACCACCACTAACCACCTCTATCCTCATACCACCACCATCGTCAACCGATATTATTATTGTCTATTATTAACCATGTTTGTCATCACAATCGTCGTATTTGCTAACTAAATCATTTTTTTTCCTAATAAACAAAAACAATAAGTACAAAATTGAAATTCAATGTTGTTGAACCAAAGCAAGTCACCCTAAACTCTGACAAGACTCTTCAAGCCCAATGATTAAGGGTGCGCAAAAATTAAACCGATCGATAAATTGAGCAACAAAATTATTTTTAATTTATTGATGTTAAATTAAAGGGTTAACGATGTTAAATTAAAGGATAAACGATTTTATAGAAAAAATTGAGTTACTAATTTGATTTTAATTTTTTAATATTAAGTTATTGAGTAAACCAATAATCCCCACTAAGGCTATAGTAATCGGCTGTAGTAAATTACTACTTTAACTTAAAATAAATATTGAGATAATAACAATAGGCTCATCACACTATTAATATAAGATATCTCAATCTAAAGAATACTCGCAGCTACATAAATTTTGTGACTCAAGACAATATCATAATCAAGATCAAGTTAAAAAAAAATATAAATAAACTACATTCATAAACACTTAATCATTATCATAATCAACTAAAACACTTGCATGAGAATGAATAAAGGTATAATGATAATACAATACACATTATCTTACCAAACGCTTGTACACAATCATTTCCTCCGTCGGATAGTCAAGACTCATGAGGAACTCACAACATGTACCCATTTTGTAACAAATATTTTTTCTCAAAATAAAGTTGAGTGGAACATCTTATATCGGATAACTCTATACCAAAAGTATCTTGGATGAAATTGTAACACCTTGAAAGTGCATAACTTGATTAAGAGTTGGAAAAATTGTAGAAAGTTGCTAGTGATTGGTTCCACGTGCCCATGTACAGACCTGTAAATGGTTGTACGAATCGTCATGGATATCCAGTCGTAGTAATTGATTAAAATTTCGAGAAAATATATAGTTTCAAATGACTTCTATGAGTCTATAGGACGGTTTGTGGAGTGAAGTACGTGTCGTACTTGTATCTCAAGATTGACTTATTGTATAATGTTTTATTAAAAATTGACATATTTTCAATATTGATCAGATTTTTCTCATATTTTTGTCTTACTTGCTTTCAAGAGAGTGAGCACACTGTATATGTCACACTTCAACACCTAAGGTGTACTTATTACGGTTCAAAATGACAATAAGACCTCTTAAAGAAAATTTGTGTCCGTGAAATTTGGTCAAATTTTGGATTGACTTAAAAGTCGGTCAAATCTACTTCTAAGTCAGTTTTAACTTTTGAAAGTGTTTGACAAATATAAAAAATAACTTAAAATAAGTCAAAAATGACTTGAAATAGGTACTAAGTGTTTGGTAAGGTAAAAACTGACTTAAAATAAGTAAAATGACTTAAAATAATCCAGAATCAAAAGTAGATCTCTCCATACTTTTTTTTTTTACTTAAAAGTCATTTCAATTTAAATTTTTATTTTTAAATTAAAAACTACTTTTTTAAACCAATTCAAATAAGCTCGAAGTCCAGACAATTTGTTGTCACCATTGTGAAATCCACTTTTTCCTCTTCTGTTCTACTCTCATTGGGTTGAAATCACAATCTAAAGTTCAAGGTGATGAGTATTTGAGTCTAATGAAATTTTGATAAAAAGAACTGAAAATCATCATAGACTCGTGGACATGCCGTGTATCCACTGCAAAAGAATTCACTTATTGACACATATTAGATCGCAATACAAGAGACAATTCGCTCTAGTCCGTTAAACAACTGAAAGAAGATTTATGGACAAAAATTGCGGGTGAACTTCAGTCTTTAGAATTGCAAAAGGCCATACGGGTTTGCCTCACCTTGCGGCGAGACGAGAGGCGAAGCACCTGTCTTTTTAAAGTGAGACGATAATTAATATTAAAAACTTAGAGTATTTAAAATAGCATAAATATCAATAGCAATAACGTAATAGCAAATATTTAAATTCAAAAACTAAAAGTCTGATAGTAGACACTAAATTTAAACAAGAAAGAATATATAAAAACAATGTTTAAAAAACAAAGGAATGAGAAGTTGTGTACAAATTGCCTACTAGTGAAGAGTTGCGAAAGAAGTAGTTTGTGGCTTTATATAAATAAACCGTAATATATCCTTTGTTACCTTTTCTCATAGTTTGTGGCTTTATATAAATAAACCGTAATATATCCTTTGTTACCTTTTCTCACCGCACCGCCTCTTGCCTTTGCGAGATTGCCTCACCTCATCAGTAATAGGCGACAAGGCCTCGCCTCTCTCCAAAGGTGACAAGACTAGCAACTTTCATAACATTACTGTTTATCATCAAAACAATCCCCTCTTGGTTCTAGCTTTGACACAGAAACAATTGAATATAGTTTGAGTAATCCAACACATGAAGTTATACCAATTTCATGACTTATGTGCCATAATTTGACTAATTTGATTCCTCTCACTGCCTCTTCTACTTCTCAACTAAATAGTATTTTTAGTTCACACTTTTGAAGATCATTCCTAAACAAATGCCATAATTGGAAACAATATTAATAAGTGTCCCAGAATCTCCTTTGTGCAGATCACCAACGAGCAATTATGAATTTAGATAAAAGTGTTAGAAACTGACAACTAATAGTTGATGTCTTTGGTAAGAAGAGATAGAACGCTTTCATGTTAACGGCTAAAATACCCTAACGCTACATTTATAAATATAAAAATAAAAATCAGAATGTCTCTTTACATGTAAAAGTAGGAATGACAAAAATGGAATAGATTTGATATTTTGTTTTGGGAAGAATGATTCCGAAGATTAGTGAAAAACACACACAAGGAATAAAAAGCTAGTAAATTTTTAAATGAAACTGGATGCAACCATAAGTTGGGGAAAACTTTCGGTGTTCACCGAACGCATGAACGTGTGGAAAATGCTTATATGCTTACGAACTCCCTTATTTTTCTCCCAGACGTGCAAGGATGGAAATTCTTTTACGATTGCAAAGCGTACCATACATGCAGAATGTTTAACACATATTCATCAGAAAGAGGAGAAAATATGCAAACAATATACCAAGCACTATACCAAGCGTAACGAGGAGCACTCAAAGCTCAGCCACATGTACTCTACAATCATGTACGAACACAAACCTCACAAGCAGGCAGATATAGGCTATATTAGAAGCACCAGAATGAAAATCCCCCACAATCTTTCCACACCATCACAAGTTGACAATCAATAAGTGCATTAAGTAGTCAAATACACCACATGAATTAGTCATCTATTGGGTCCTGAGGAGTCTCAGCTGCACTGCGCTTAATTGTGACAACAGGACATTCAGCATGCTTCAGACAGAACTCACTTACAGTTCCCACGAAAACCCTGCAAGGAAATATATACCTCTCAATTAAGTAAGCACTGTCCCAAAGTAGAATTTATTTAAAAGACACATTACTCCTATTTAATTGAAAGCAATAGTAAAATGACAAACAGGTTCCATATTACTCATCATGAGTAATATGGATCTTTACAGTTTTGGCCACTAAAGAAAACATGGACATTGGAATTTCTACAATACTAGAGCCTTGTCAAGGTCTGAACAATAACAAATATGAGGGACCTGATTTGGTACGATTCATAGTAAGGGCAACTTCACAGTAAAGTCATGTTACTTTCAACATAAATTCTGGTGGGCTGCAAAGGGATCTTGGGCCATGGAAGCAAATCCAGAAAATAAATGCACCTTACAAAGTGGCTTCTTCACTTGGTTGGTATCCCAAGAGGCTTGTTTAACATTGGAAACACTCCAAAAAACAGATTTCACTTATGTCTACATGTTATTTATGTGTAGACAAGCCTTACAATATCAATCATTTATTTTTGCACTGTCAACTTAAGGACCAGCGATAGCAACTCTTTCTTAACATGGTTGGACTAAGTTGAAGCATTAGAGGTGTACTTGTGACCTACTGAAATGTTGGAGCATCGAAGGCAAGAATTCCAATCAAAGGAAATGGTGGTAAACCACTCCAGCTCACATATGGTAGATGGTTTGGAGGGGGCGAAACAGCAGCTGTTTTGAAGATAAAGGATCAAGATGAATCTGTTTACTTTTGTTTCCTTTTGTAACCAGCATTTTGTAAATGACGTTCAAGCAGTGATTGAACTCTTACAATCCCTTACGAATCGGAAGAAATATTCTGCTGGTACCTTGTAAATATTTTTGACAGTACCTCATTGGTGCCATATTATGCACATGACCATTTCTCAAAAAGGGAGGGAGGCCATGGCTATATAACGCTCACAAGAGCAGCAAAATATTGGTGTTGAACATGTTTGGACTATCTGTTGTGCACAAGGAGCAAGGATGTTCGAGTTTTCCCGATAAAGTGAGAGAAGGCTAATGTAATTGAGGACCTTGCTCAAGCCTTTTTGGCTACAAGATTCATGATCGACTTTCTACATCATCAGGGTATACACTGAAGTCCATGTATTGATGATTATCAGAAGCTTTTGAGATAACTTCGTAATCCCAGTACATGAATTAGATTCTGGCAATCAACTATGTCACAGGAGAATTGGAGAGATCACGATGCTTGCAAATACTTGTCATTTCCCTTAACAGGTGGTGGTAGGAGCAGCCAGATCATAGGGTGCTTGAAACGGACTACAGAGACCCAGGGCAGGCTAAAGCCAAGTGGAATATTACACGATGAGAAGTGCACTTTATTTGATCACTATGTGCTACACTCGGGTGTTTATAATTCTCCTTTAAGAAGAAATAAGCAATTTCTCTTTTCTTTTATTCGGGAAGTTTAAGTTTCTGTTTTTGGAAATGAATTCTTTTTTATATAGGATTAATCATTTCTAAATTTGTAATGACTAGCTCGAATTTCAGTAACTGGTGTTTTAAGTCCTATTGATTAATGCATCTTTTTTGCCTTTCTGTTTGCTACTTTTTTTGCAACTCAACAATCAGATCTTTTTTCCATTTCTGTAAATGCCAAAGCATCAGAAAAGAGATGAAAAAACTTGTCTGTTGAAAGGATTGTAATCAAATTGAGGGTTGGTACTTGCGTCTGTTAATTGCAAATTGACAACTACTATATTAACATAATAAATGCCAAGTGACTACAGAAAATTGAGGTGAGGGTGTCTTTTGAGTCTCAAAATTAATATTGGTGACATATTTGACCGGCCAAGGTCAAAGGTCACTTGGAAGTTTGATTAAGTTAATTGTCGACTGAAACAACATTTTTTAAAACTTGTTAAACTTTTCCAAAATGCAAAAAAATAATAATAGTTAATTCAAAATAAAATCAGATTTTAAACTCAACTTTCATCTCTCATAACTGCTCCAATTTCTCTCTCCCACTCACTCTCAACTTTCATCTTTTTATACTAGATAATGTGTCCCTAATATCCTTATGTCTTTAAAATTTTCACTGTGAGTGAATCTAAATTGGAGCAGTAGTGTTCCTTCTTACTAAATAGATGCTTATGTTCTAGTTAGGGCATAATTAAATTTTCCAAACAACAAGCATTCATATAATCCATAACATAATGATTTTACTAGAAATGTAACATTTATATTGTCCAGTAAATCATTAATAGGTATGAGATAAATAATGTTAGTCTGATTCAATAGTCAACTAACATCAAGCCAATACAAGAGACTTGTGTTCTTTCCATGGATATCCACACAGTGTTCAACACAAGTCTTGCATGTTGACAAATAAATGTATAAGTTTTTTGGACCATACTAGACTCTTAAGTCATCTCGTTCACCATTTTTCAAGTCTCACATCCTAGAATAGGCGGCATAGTTGAAATGCAACAGGCAAAGCGATCAATCTCACTTCTCAACAAGGCACCCATGTCTCCAAGGTAATGTTGTTTAAACTTTTTACTCCTATTAAGTTAGTGTCATATTAAAAGCCTATTCAGAAAACTAACATAATAGGAGTAAAAAGTTTAAACAACATTATCTTGAATAAACATATAATTTAGGTGCATAAGGAGTTAATTGATCTTACTCAAATAGCTCATATTCCTTGGCATTTGGAATGAGAAGCATTCATAAAGACCATTTATCTATCTCATCAAAGTCACAAAAACCATTTCATCAACTTCATCATTGAGCTAATCATAGGCACCGTCTTCTAATAGGAGTAAAAAGTCTAAAAAAGATCATCCTTCGGACATGACTGAGGTGGGATGTATAATTTAGCTAATGGGAACTATGTTACCATTTTAGAGAGCAATACGACAAATGGTAACAGAGATGAATTTGGAAAAAAGCTTGTACTCAAAAACTTGTATATTTAATTTAAGGGAAAAAGGACGAATTTACCCCCGAACTTTAATAAATGGTACGTCTATGCCCTCCATTATACTTTGCGTCCACCTAAGCCCCTCCCTCCGTCCAATTATAGGTACACATCTGCCCCTCTCATTAACAGTCCCCTCAATTTTTACACGTGTCTTAATCCTAGACTACTACCTGTTTGACCTTTCCTTTTAACCCAAAACCAAAAATCCGCTCCATAAACCCAATACCCACCCAATATCCTCTAATATATATCAAAAATGGTCAAACAAACTATTCTAATAATCTGCATACTGGAGTTTGATTTCTATTGTGTTGCGATGGATGCACCTTAGATGAAAACAAGTAAAGTTATTTAGCAGTATGAATCCAACTCAATGAATTTGCAACAGCGTGCAGATCTACAAGACTCAATCCCTTTAGCTTCATTTTCAGTTTAGATATAGCAGAGGAAGGGGGTGTCAATCATTCTTTGACAAGACTTTTGAATGAAAGCTGATACCCGTAATAGCAAGTCTCATCGCCTTAAAGATATTCTTCTCTCCTCCCCCTTCCCTGTTATGTTTCAGTATCTATTTCTCGTACAGTTGAAATACCTCAAAAGTTCATGAAGACAATGTAAATCAATCACACTTGTATCAATCAATTTCAAGAAATCAATCTACTCACAGGGAATAAATACTTAGGTGTTTGTTCCTCTACACATATTTACAAATGGATTTAAGACGTGAATGATGAGAGTTAGGAATAAACACCAGTACAATCGCTGCTAAAGCGGGTGTGAATTAGATTTGGGTCTTTAAATTTGGATATATGGGAATTGTATGGGTATTGGATTTATGGGGCGGGTTGTTGGTTTATGGGTTAAAAAAAAAGATCAAACGGGTAGTAGTCTAGGATTAAGACATGTGTAAAAATTGATGGGGCCGTTAATGAGAGGGGCAGATGTGTACCTATAATTGGACGGTAGGGGCTTATGTTGACGCAAAGTATAATGGAAGGCATAGACATACCATTTATTAAAGTTCGGAGGTAAATTCGTCCTTTTTCCCTTAATTTAATTACCAACATGCAGATTTGTACAAACACGACTTGTTTGGGACTGACGCATAATTAGTGTCATTGTATGCAGACTTGTGTCAAATGTTGATTAGATGTCATGGGGTAAATGCAAATATCTTTTATCAACCACAATGTCGGCAGGCAATTGAAAAAACTATTATTATTTATCCTATACCTATGGAGGATTTTATGGATACTACGAATGTTGGTTGGAGAATGAATAATATAAATTTTTAGAAATAAAAAAAAACAATTTTTTTTATGACAAGGAAAACGAACAGCCGCTACCCTTTGGGTGTGCACAAGGTAAATACCATTTTACAGATTACATGAATGCATGCGGGTAATGCTGGAAGGTTAGCAACAACAGGTGATACCAAAATAGATAAAAGTAGATATGGAGAACTATTCCACTACGCATCTTATCAACAATTTGGATAGAGACGAACGTAAGGGCTGAGAACTCAGTTTTCTAGAACTAAGGATAGATGTTTACAAAATTTGTAATGCTGGTATAAAGGTAGTTCAATAGATAGTTCGAACCAGTATATGGATATGCTAGGAAGAAGCGTGTAGTAGGCTGCTTTTTGTTTTATGGCGTTTTTGGTTTCTTTTCCTGTACAATCTCGGTACTATTTAATAAAATCTCTAAAAGAAAAGGGATTACATAAATGCATGCTGTTAGGAAACACTATTTATGATTCAAAATATAGAAGGCGTGCACTTAATTATTGTTGTTAATATCATTAACTTATTTTTGACTAATTTTATTAGGAGTTGCATAGTTTAAGACTTAATACATTTACAAGGCATCATTTGTGATAAATGGATAAAAAAAGAAATGGTCTGATAAACTTACTAAACAGCTATTGTGTAGATTTAGATTTATCAACGGTAAGTAATAAAATAATTTAAACCACACCAAATGATATAATCAATCCCAACTCTCTATCCACAAAACAGAACAATACCATACAATACAATACACCACAAAACTATATGGTATGAAACAATGGGTAACAACCACCCAAAAGGGTGTTAAAGAGTTTCTAACTACGCATAGAACGTGTAGTGGTTGGAATCATGGGCTTAGTGATATTGGTTTGCTACTGCCATTTGTCCTCAAAGATGGTTTAATGTGAATATTACTTGCTGCAATCTTCATTTAGGCATTTCTAAGGCACAAATGAACAGTACATCTTTTTGTTTATGAAAATTTTGAATGGTCATTAATTTTGTTACAAAGTGGAAGAAAATAAAGAACACAATTTTTTGGCATTAGATACTTAGTGATGTTTCCAAGCATGTTCTTGCTAAGGAGATCGGGTGGAGGGAAAACACACTCAATAAGATGGCCATGGCCATGCCCATAGAAACATAACAATGAAATTAAAAAATATGTAAGTGCTACTACAATTATGCATACCTCTGAAAAGGACCAAGACCACGGCAACCAACCACAAGAAGATCTGGCTGTACACGTTTGACTTCGTGGCAGATGACTTCCTTGGGATCGCCTTTCTTTATCCATGCTTCACAAGGAACCTACAAATAAAGTGACATGCAGTAAATTTGGAAGAGTTTTTACTTGAGAGATTCTGAGGGCAACAAACTTTAAATAGTGACCACAACCAGTACAGCTTAAATACTAGCTAGTAACTTAGGATTAAATTTTCATGCCAAGATTCATCGAAGGAAATCCCAGTACCCCAATTTCATGACAGCGGTTAACAAAGTACTCCACCAGATGGAGCCCTCTAATCTTGTTCCTGTTTTTCATGCCCTTGAAATCATCAGGTGATGCAAATATGCTATCCATATCTTCAAAACCTAGTAATCAGATCACCAACAAGATATAATATAAGCTACTGAATAAACCAAACACAGCAGATTGCATTACTGATAAAATTTGACAAGAAAACATTGAAACCAGAATGACGTTTACTCACTGAACTCTGAAGCCCGATGGTACTCGGATTCTGTTATATGCATAATGTATGTAAGGATGGCGATAACATTCACATGGCATACCTCCATTAAAGATTGACGGGCTTCAATGGGAAATCAAGAAAATGCTTCTTGTTGCAGAAGTCTCCAAAGATGAGCCCAATAATGATTCCAGAATTAGGGCACATAGTGAATTAAGTACTACATGAATTTCATGGTTCAAGTCCGAATCCAAGAATAACAGAGTGAATTAAGTACTACATGAATTTCATGGTTCAAGTCCGAATCCAAGAAGAAGATTGAGCCATATGAAGGTCAAGAGGAGGAGTGCATGGGATCCAAAAGGAGTACAAAGAAGAGCTGAAATTTCTGCCAAAAGAAGTGAATTTCTCGCCCATAAAGGGGTTGAATAGATCCCAAAAGAAATGAAAATTCAGCCCATAATGAGTGCAATTCATACCTGGTTTAAAAGTTTCCTAGTTATTATTTCCATGAAATTAGGATTTGAATCACATGCTATTAGGGATAGGTCTCCTCTCTTTATATATAAGGGATGATTTTGTTATTCTCAAAAAGGACATGATTAAAATTATTTGAGAGGTGTCTCTTCTTTACACCTTTGTGTGTAGTAACTATGGATTAATCTTACAACCTCATAAGAATGATTCTATAAGCGGTAAGATGAATTCTTAACTTGATATATTTTATTTCTATTAAAATAAATTAAAGAACGTAATTATTCTTATACTAATTATTGTCTCTAATTTCTTCAAAATAGGTGTCTAGATCATTTTTTATGTAAATTCTTGAATTGACTTAATTAATATCATAATTAGTTTTAACCTAATAATTTTGAATATTAAGATCAATTAGGTTCTTAGCACTTTAGCTTGAAATTTGGAGATTTTACTCTTGAATTTCACACTTGTTTCAATTTCTATTACTCTTTGTGCTTTGGCTTCCGCATTATTTTCTTGTTTATTCAAGTAACCCGATTCTTATTAGATAGCGAGCCATAGAAAAACATGGCTAAAGAAAATGCTCCAGAACCAAAGAAAACAACTGACCACTGCATTTGCCCAATTAAATCCAAAGCACAAGAATGATTTCCCAAGGCAACTTAAATTTTTCGCATATTTCTAATTTAACCTCAAAATGATACAATCAGAAGCACAAAATATAAAAGGAAAACGAATACACAAAATTGAACTTTGCTGGTATTGAACCTTTTTTGTTCCTATCAAGGAGAAGAGTAAACTTCGTCTTCTCTCTTCCAGAGTAGCCTAAAACTTTAACAGCTCTCCCCCCCCCCCCAAACCCCAATCCTATTTATAAGTATGCACGGTAGCCTTCAAAAAATGACTATTTGGCCTTCAGACTCACTTTCACAAATTTCACCCTTAGTGACAAGGGCATTAGCCACGGCAAGTGGTAAGAGAATGAGAAAATGATCACAAAGGCCACACTAAAACTGGGTTAACAAGGAACTAAGGATTCACATTGCTCATTCTATTCAATGGCTTATATCACAAAAGCAAGTTTGCCCCTGTTTTGCACAAATTCTAGATAAACTTGTGTGATAAGATGTCCCTATGATTTGAAGGACCAGTTCGAATCCCTAGCCCACTGCTTCCCAGTTGATATGCCCTCTTAACATGCAAAAGTTAGCACCCAAGGGTGTGGCCTAGTGGTCAGAGGTTCAAAATTCAAGGAGACACTAGCCTTGTTTCGCAGAGTTACCCATTGTCTATAGTTGGTGGGAGGTGTCCCGTGGAATTAATCAAGGTTTGCGAGACATACCACGGTCATAAAAAAAAGCAATAAAACGGCTAGGTCATTGCTGAAATCGCGGCTTAATCAGAAATCATGGTGAAAAAGTGGAAAGCTTAGAATCCCATAAAATTACATATAAAACACTAAGAAACAACAACAACCATGGAGAGAAAAAGAGAAAGCAAACCATCTTCATCGGGAACTTGGACATGGAGGAAGAGGAGTTTGAAACCAGAAGTGTTGGAACGAACAATTTTGTTAAGAGTCCACTCGAATGCTCCTTTACTGCTAATGGAAGCATGTGGATAACCCTTGATCGTCGACTCGTTCACCGCTACCATCACCCGAGTTGCCTCACCTGCCATACCTCTCTCTCTTTCAGTCAGTTGATTTAGGGGCTCGATTTGTTAGTGTGTTCTAATGTTCTGTGATGTTCTATTTTAACATCTTCTCGCCAGCTCCCTCTAACTTCATTTTGCAACTTTGGGATTCAATTCTTTATTTTACTTTAATTTTTTATTTTACTCCGCTATGCTATGCACAATTGCTTATTTGAAATGTTATTCTGATAATTAAATTTACCATAATTGATTACATGACTTGTCCTGTTTGGTTAGTAAAAGTGGGTGTAATAGGGGGGATAATTACATTCTCCAATTTACAAAAAATACTGTGATAATTACATAGTATAATTACATTGATTACATGCTAATTTCTTCCTTTTATTTCTATTTTTATTTTTTTGTTTTAATTATTTCTATACTTATATTTTTATCATAATGTTTTCTAAAAATAATTTATAAAATGTTATATTATTTATATTTTATTCCCTTTTCATTATCAATTTTTACTTTGTGTAATTCAATGCAATTTTCTGTATTATCTAAGAAATCATTAGGATAATTTTGTTATATTCTAATTTTTAAATTGAACTAGTATTCATTGTTGAATAAAGTTGAACTTACATTTTTATTTCCTTTTAAATCATATTTATGTATGTTATGTCAAAATTTGACATAAGACTTTTATATTTTAAAAAATAATTTTAAATTTGAAACTTGTGTTATATTTTCAATTTCATTTTTTTAAAGAATATTAACTAAATATTTTACATTGCAAGCTATTTTTTAAAATTTAGATTTGATAGATTATCTTTTTGTCAAATGTTATGTAATTTTATAACATTATATGTAGAATATTAATCTTCTTTTAAATATGCATTTGATAATGTTCATAGAAAATTTTGTACTTTTAGTTCATGATTAGTTTAATTAAACTATATATCGAAAAGTATAACTAAATTATTTTTATAATATTAGTTAAGAACATAAGTTTATTAATTAATACATTTTAAAAAGACAATACATATCTTAAATGTTCAATTTAATATCATTCATAAAAACCCTTATTTGTCTAAAATATAAATTTTTAATTTTAAATAATTAATTTTTTAATTTCAAGATTCAATATAACCCTATGATTACACTTATGCAATCAAATAGTACACTTGCAACTACACAATAATTACATTGTGGCAAACAATCGTGTAATTACTTGGTTGTGTAATTATTAGGCTAGTAATAATTGCTACCCTAGTAGTTACACCAATTCTAATACCTCGTGACTTTTCAAACAGAACCTAAATTTTGGACATAACCAAATTTAATTTAATTCTCTAATTTACCCTCTCAAAAAATATCTTCTTAATATTATATTATATTTCTATTTTATTTTATTTTTTTATATCTTAATATAAATCCATTCTTTTTTTTTAATAGTAACTCCATATCATCTTCATATAATTTAAGATTTTATTCTTATCAAAAATTTTATTTGATATAACATTATATTTTGTTCTAAATTTCTAAAATAACATATGATGCAAGCAAATATTATACAGGGAAAAGGCTCAAATATGTCATCGAACTTTCAGAAAAAGCTCATTTATGTCATTTGTTAAAAGTTTGGCTCATCTAGGCCATTACCGTTCAACAAAAGACTCATTCATGCCATTATCTTTTAACAGTGATTTTGCAAAATAATTTTGACACATGGCCAACTGTAATTCGGCCACATCATCAATTTTTTTAATTAAAAAAACCATAATTCTGAAAAAAAAAATTAAATTATTTTTTTTGTTTTTTATTAAATAAATTGATGACATGGTCAATTATCATCAATTATTTTAATAAAAAATGAAAATCCTGAATAAAAATTGAATAAACTTATTTTAAAAATTTTTTATCTAAAAAATTGATGACGTGGCCAAATTGTAATTGGCCACGTGTCAAAAACGGTTTTGCAAAATCACTGTTAAAAAATAATGACATGAATGAGCCTTTTCTTTAACAGTAATGACATAAATGAACCAAAATTTTAACTGATGGCATAAATGAGCATTTTCTGAAAGTTCAATGACATATTTAAGTCTCTTCCCTATTATATATTATACATATTAATGGACAATTATTCAAATAAAAGTGGAGCCATTAATGAAACAGAATTATATAACATTATATAGATACTCAAGTTTCAAGATTATTATGTTGCTCCCATAAATATTATATTAATGCATTATGAAATTCAAAATGATTATTTTTATTGTTAACTTTTTTATGTCTATGTTCGCAACAAATTTCCTTAAGCGCTGAAAATTGAGTGCAAGCAAAATAAATAAAAGAAGGTAATTTTTATTGATGGATCGTTGTGAGTATAATTATGTTGTTCTCTTGATTCTTCTCCACTAAGTTTCTCCAAGATTCGAGGGTCTTCAGTAGCGTACTTCTCAAATTGTTGGATGATGTAAACCTTCTTAAGATGTTATCGATCTCCGAGAACGTCTAAAAGCGCTTCGTCATTTCAAGTCAATCTCGGGGAAGAACTTTGTTGATTGCTCATTTGAAGAGCTATGTAGTTGATGTTGTAGCTTTCTCCAATTGCAGAATGCTTGTTGAAGAGTTTTCTTCATCCCCAAGAATGTCATGCCCATCCCCTATTTAGTTGGGGAGGACAAGGTTGCTTGTGATTGGTCAAAGGATGTCATTTCGACACTAGACCAATTGTGATTGGTTCTTGCATCTGACTGGGACTACCATCTCATTCGTACACAGACGTTACCTTGTTGGTCTTGGATGCCTAGTCACTATGACACGTGGCATGTGTTTGGACTTCAAGGTGAAATAGACCTTAGATTTGAATTGAATAAAATGACTTTATTACTTGTAAAGCCCAAAAATTAATCATTTAGCTTATATGAGCATGGATTTAATTCAAATTTTGTACAAATTTTAATCCGATCAAATCTATGTGTCTATAACTATGCCTTACTTTGAGACTTGTCAATGTGCAAGCTTGCCGAAGTGTGACGATGAGACTTGAAGTACTCATAAATATGTCTTCATTTTTCTTAAGACTTGTCAATGTGTAGGCTTGCCGAATTTGGCAACGATAGTTGAAGTCTTCATGAATGCATTGTTGAGATTTCAAGAGTATTTGTTTCTTGTCGTCCCATTCTAACCAAATTACTATAAATGATTTGTTTGTAGTTTTTCAATTTTTTTGAACATTCTTGCTCGACAACCACGTGGACCCTATATTGATTTCAAATAGATGGATATAGCGTCCATCCACCGATACAGTCTCTACCTTCATCCGAGAATTATCTATTTCTCTATTGGATGTGAGAATCATTGGAGGCCTTCCTATTCATGTTTCCTTTTATGATGAATTTATACCCTTAGATAAGGATTTAACACATGTTGATGATCAAGGGAATCATTTACACAAAGTCTTCTTTAGAGAATGGACAAAGTTTTGGTTTAGGGGATCGAGAAAATATGTAGAGCCTCAACCAAGGATGATCAAGGGAAATCATTTACACAAAATCATTTATCCAAGCTTTATGGATCATGGAGAAATATTTTCTTTGGCGGTTCCGATCCTTGCAAACATCTACCGCGACCTCATGAATATATCCACCTCTCCAAACATGGGTGCTTGCAACACACTATTTCCCAGCCATTATGTATATATATGGATAGGTGAGTATTGTGAGACCTACTACCGTGTTACCCGCCCCCAACAAGGTGTGCTAATGTGGCAAATTTCTAGAGAAAAGATGGTAAAACATTTTGACCTTGTTGACGCTCACAAGTTATTTCAAACAAGTGAATGTGTATAACCTCTACAATCTGTCCATGCTTCAAGGAAAAGAGTTGCATATTGATGATAGTGGAAAATTGTCCACTTCCTAGAGCTATTTCCTTATAGGCCTTCATTCAAGTTTTGTAACATGAAGCTGGATGATGAACTGATTGTGGAGCCTTATAGCCCTCACCAATTCAGAAGATAATTTGAATATCGTCATGATGTTCCTTGTAACATCTTGTAATCCGAAATATCTAGGATTAAACAGAGAAACTAAGATTTAGTTATTTTTGGCAAGAATAGGAGAAATCCAGAAAAATTCATAAGTGTAAAAGAGAATTTTTGGTAATTTTTAAACGGTCATAAGTTCTAGCTCAGGATGAGTTAGATTCAGTTCTTTATATGGTTGGAAATTCCTTGGAGATATCTTTCCAATGCCGCCGAGTTTGCGTATTTTCAATATCGTATGAGGGAGATATGTCTATCAGAAGTTGGGTTGTTGGATTGAGAAAAATCCCATCCGGATTTTAGTAAGGGTAAAGTGGTCTTTTCATCCTACTATATCCTAATTAAATTTAAGGGTTTATTAGGGGTAAAACTAAGTCTTAATACAATTTTAGAAAAGTTCAATATGCTTAGGGATTGGAAGAAAAGAGAAGAGAAGAGGAAGATCAAGAATCCTTCAAGAATGCTAAGGTTTCGCGAGTGAAATTTGACGGGAGTGATCCCTATCGAGGTATGTGAGATCTTTCTGTGTTAGGTTTGTTCACACATACCAACATGTTTAATTCAGCGAGTTTTGAAAAGATTGGTTGATGAATATTGAAGTTCTTGATGAACAATGATTGAACTCGAATTTGGATCCCGTCCAATGGGGATCTCCTCCAGTGCCTCCAGTAGGCCTTTAAATTTATTACACGTGTCTACTTATATATTCAATGGAATAGATTAATTTTACTAATCAAGCCTTAAACTACAGTCAACAACATATTTTTCTCTTTCTCTCTCCGGTTATCATACCAATTTTTTTCTTTTTAGAGAAGCCTTTTTTTTAATTGTCATAGTTTCATTTTTTTATTAAACTAAAAAAATTTAATTAATATTTTACGATATATTTTTTCATCATATTGACATTTAAAAAATTGTCATAAAAGTCATAACTTCCCATTTAAGTATCAACTTTTCATAAAAGCATAACTTTTCATAAAAGTTGCAACCT